AAGAAATAAATAAATAAGCAAATTGAAACAAGAAGGTAAAAAAATAAGCAAAGATTAAAGGAACAAACAAAATTAAAAAAATACAAAACCGAAAATGAAAAAAAAGTAATATCAAGCATAAACACAAAATTGAACAAGAAAAAAAATAACAAGTATAGATGCAAAACCTAAACAAGATAAAAAAATAATAATAAATAATCAGAAAGCATATATATATATACACACACACACATAAATTTTAAATAAAAAATTATTAAACTTGACAGATATCAAAACATACCAAAAAAAATGAAAATTCATACAACAAATAGAGAATCAAAAATAGAATTAAATTAAGAAATAATACTAATATGTATCTCACTAGAAAAATTCATATTAAAAAAAAAAATTTATGAGTGCATGAGATGAAATAGATACTGAAAGTCTAATTATGACAAAATATAAGGTGAGTTTATTTATTAAACGGGGATGTATGTAGCATGAGGTAGACTTAGTTATTAATGGGTGAGTATAGAAAGAGTGGACTTAATAGTTTGATAATAAAAAATTAAATGGAGTGAGAATGAACATTGTGGGGTGGGAAATTCGATTGAATTTTAGGAATATTTAAGTTGAATCCAAATGGAAACTAATTTTAATTTCTCAACAAAATTTTTTTACATTTACTAGAATTCACGATAAACTTTTGGATTTTTTTCTTACAAAAGTTACACAAACTCACATTAGAAAAATGATGTAGAGATAATGTTATGGACTTTAGGTAAAAACTTATAAAAAAATAAATAGTTATATTTTTTGAAATTTGAAATAAAATTTATTAAAAATGTTAAAATTGTGAATATTTGATTAATAATAATTATATTTTTTCAAATTTTTAAATTAATATGTTACGGTAGTTGTAGCGTGACTTTTGTTATATAGAGATTTGATTATATATGTTCTGCATACAACATACATGTTGAATAATATCAATTTGATCGCTGTATTGTTGAAATTGTATTGTACATTGCCTTTATTTATAAAAAAATATTTACAATTTCTTACGGGTAACGTAGTGCCTTCAGGCGCGACTAATTACTATATATATATATATAGTAACATAAAAAATATAATAACATTTAAACAAAAAAATAATACTATTCAAAAATAAAAAAATTATAATATTATACATGCTCAACAAAAATAGTAATATACTCACAAAAATAGTAACATGGTAATTTATATATATATATATATATATATATATATATATATATATATATAGAGAGAGAGAGAGAGAGAGAGAGAGAGAGTATAATTGTCATTTGAATTTAAATTTCAACTTACTTTACTAAATTTTTTATTTTTAATTGGCTCAAATATAATTTTAATCACCTCAAATTTTAATACATAAAAAAAATATAATTTTCAATTGATTCAAATTTTAATACATAAAAATAAAAATTTTAAATCGAATTTTAATCGTTCCGAATTTTAAACGTAAAAAAAAATAGAAAACAAATGAGTTCTTACTAAAGATATACTTATCTAGAGAAAGTGTGGATGAAGTTTGTGCTCAAATATATCCTTGGCAATTTAGTAAAATTGCATTCTAGTTAACATTTTTAATCTGACTGGGTATCAATGAAGATTCAGAAATAGAAATAATGTTCTTGAAGATATGGTAAATCCTTGGGGGTGTGGTTGAAATTTTTCTTAATTATAATTACGTTAAATCGAGAATTGAATTTAAGATCGACTCAATTAACACTTATATCTTAAATTTACAAATTAATTATTATCTATTGCCGTTCACAATGACATCGTAATTTTTTTTAATTTAATTATTCATTATTATTTTTACAATCAATTTCAATTTGACTTCAACTTAAAAATTCAAAAAATTCAAATAAAGTTAAGTTTAAACAAGAATATATACTTTATACTCGACAATCAAATTCATCTCAATTTGAATTCTAATCATAATCACTTCGAACCAATAATCAAGTAAAATTAAAGGATTCTTGTAAATTTTTTGTGGAAAAAAAATTTGAAGGAGGAGTTTCGATCGTTTGATCAATAATCTTAAAATAATCTGAGCCGTAAAAAATTCAGCACAAATAATGATAGCTCCCTTATTGTATAGATTATCATAAATTACATATATAGTATTTGCTTGTTATACCATTCGAATATTTTAGTATTTTTATTTCAATATAAAATATGATCTATATGATAGTCATTCGACTTGTTTTCACGCAAATAATTTGTATTTAAGGTCTATTTATTTATTTAAAAATTCTAAAAATAATCTAAATTATATAGAATTATAATTAATGACCTAATGAATGTATTAGCGATTAATTTTTATATTGGTCATCACAGTATGTGAGAGGGAGAGAGAGCTAATTGAGAGAGACATTTATATAGACTAGGAATGCACTACGTGCGTTGCACGTGAATAATTTTTGTATACAAAAATTAATAAAATATATTATGTATATTTGTATTTGAATTAAATATCATCTCAAATTTACAAATTTTAATTTTTTATTGTTCATATTTTATTATAAGATTATGAAAATTTTAAATATTACCAAAATTCTTTGTTCTAACTGTAAAAAATAAAAAAATAGTTAAAGTCCTATTTTTTTAGAATTTTGTGATTAAAATTAATTTTTTAAAATTGTTTGAGAAATTAAATTTTTTAAAATTCATTTGATTAGGATTTCAATTATAATTCATTGAATAAAATAAAAGTAATTGTTAATATACTAATCACATTGGAACCTTACTACAATTAAAAATAAGTTAGGTCAACTGGAATAAGATTTAATATACTACTCTATAATTTGCATTATCAAATATCTTAAAATTCTAAAGAATTCAAGTTTTACTTAAAAATATACTACGATATTTATTTTTATAAAAAAAAAATTTAGTCCAACTTATAAAGTTTAGGGTAAATTACACTGACATCCCTACAGATTGGTCTAATTACAGAGACACCCTCAATTTTTTGAAATTACATTGATATCCTATACTGTTTACCTACCAAATTCACAAAGTATCCCTATGGTTAGCATTATTATTGACAATGTCAAAAAAGTGATTACATCATCAACTTTTTATATTTTAATACTCATATTACCCCTGGATAAAATTAAGCTAACCTATTTATTTTCGTATCGTGTTCGTGTTCGCATTCATACTTCATTTTTATATCGCGGAACGTCTCCAAGGTAAGACCACTTTGAACCCTTTCTTGCAAGATAACCTCGGATACCAACAATTACCCGCAAACTACATGTATCAGTTAAATCCGAGAAACACTAGCGTGAGTCAAACCCCTAACGTCTAGGCCTACGGTTTGTCTGGGTTCAACTCCACACCGCTAGGATACCTGTACAGATGTGTTCGTATTCGTGTTGACTCATATAAACTTTAAATAAAAAAAAATTAATGTTAAGATTTAAGTTTAAGATTCTATTATTACTTAATTGAATGCATTTTCATACTTTTTCTATAAATTAAAAATTAAATTAATAAACACAATAAAAATAATGAGTAAAAATATCTTTTTATACAATAATTATGTTAATGCTTAATAAATAGCAACAAATAATTAATATCTTATTTTTATAGCATCACTTAAACATATGGATCATTGCAATTCCGTGTTGTTCGTGTTAATATACAAACGAAAAATAGAGAAAATTCAACACGATTAAATAAAACGGGTTGATCGTGTCAATTTCAGGTTTGATAGATTGAACCCGAAAATGACTCATTTATTAGTATTTAAATATATGAAAGGATGATAAGTAAAAAATGATATATGTGTGGTAAGGATAATTATGAAAAATTACATTTTTTATATTTGTTAAAAGACAAGACTTGACCTGGGATATTAGTGTAATTTCAAAAAATTGGGGGTGTCCCTGTAATTAGACCATTTTACATGAGTGTCAGTGTAATTTATCTTAAAATTTATTGTGACTGAAGAATTATATTGATCTATCATAAATTGATTTTAAAAAATTATATATATGATTATTTTTTATCTTAAAAATGAAAGGGTTCAACTTTTTGATGATATATATATATATATATATATATATATATATATATTGAAAATATAATGATGCATATTTTTTAAGAGTAATATAGTTATCAAAAAATAAATACTTATACATAAAAAATAAATAATTAAAAGAGATGTTATAGTTATTTTGAAGATTTAAATATATAAAGATATGATAGTAATTTAGATATTTAACTGTTAAAGGATAGAGTGATCTTTACAATCTTTTATAAGGTTAAAATAATGATTCAAAAGTTTTTCATCTAAGATACTTTTATTAGTAGTATAGATATACCACAAATTACATATATATTATTCGCTTATTATACTATTCAAATATTATAGTATTTTTATTTAAATACGAAATATGACTTATATTATAGTCATTGGATTCGTTTTTACATAAAAAATTTGTATTTAAAGTCCATTTGTTTATTTGAAATTTCTACAAATAATCCTTAATTATATAGAATCATAATCTTTAATTAATGTGTTAACAATTAATTTTTATATTGGTCGTCACAGTATGTGAGAGGAAGAGAGAACTGACTGAGAGACGTGTGAACTGTATGAACATCAGATAGTATAAGATAAAGAGAGAGAGGGGGGTTATAAGAGAGAAAATAGTCTTAAAATTTGATAAGGAATGAAACTCTTGTTCAAAAAATTGGAGGAAAAATTTTCGTATTAGGACTGTCGGATCAATAATCTTCTCAAACGATCCAAGTTGCAAAAACCTCAAGACAAACAATCTAACTACTTTATTATATATATAATATGTTTACCAAAAAAGTATAAGTTATTCTTTGAAGATTCAATCTTTGCAGAGAGATAGGAGCATTCGGGGAACCAATGAACTACACTTGCCTCTGGATAGATGTGTGCGTGGAACAGATCAAAAGGCAAACATTACAACTGTAGACAATATAAAACACCAACCACTTTCAGCAATTTCGAACGGGTACCATAAACCACTGAAAATGATCAATATTTTGGCAGATTAAATCAGCAGAATCCACAATAATGTGAGATAATATGAACTGTCCCCCGCAATAAACCAATGAACAAGAAACAACTGGCAGTAGGATACAAAAAACATAAAATATAAAAAAAATAAAAACAAAAACACAACCTATTTCACATCAGCATTTAGAAGCCATATAGCACTGTACACAAATTACAGCATGGCAAGTGTCTCTTTTACCAACCTTTCCATTTTACTTGATGGTCAAATCATTTATGGACATAACATCATTCCTTCCAATGGTGTCCGCGTTATTCCAAAAGATTGTATTATTGGAAAAGGTCGGTACACTGTCAACAATGGCAGTTTCTCCATAAATATCATCACCACTCCATTAAGCTCGCCAAAACCAACCCATCCAACAATGTTGCAAAAGAATGCTTCAACAAAACCAAACCAACTAGTTATGCATGCAGACGATTGACATCAATTTGTGTCCCTTAAATCTATCTACTTTGGGAGGTTGAACAGCCTTTGATCTTTCTGCCGGAATCAACGAGCCACCTGCGGTGGGTAATTCCCAGACAGCAGCAATTCAAGTAGGTATAATCTTCTCCCTTATATTGTCAGGAAGTCTTATTCCTCTTTTCTTCAAGCACTGAACCCTCTTTGAGTGCAATTTGGGCCTCATTCTCTCTTCCCAAAGCAAAAAGAGCTGCAGCTTGTAAATAGGATGCAATATGCCAAACAGGGGATATAACTTGTGCCTGCACCGAGTCATTGAGGGCTTCCTGGGGCATATCATTCATGAGATATGACAGACTACGTCGAGCAAAAACTGTCGGGGATACCATTGTTCCAACATCAATGAACTGCAAACACCAATAAGAAGTTATCAACTAAAAACTCAAAATTCCTTTGCTATGGAAGAGCAGAAAAAGTATTAGATTGATCGTACACAAATTTCAAGTATACAGCTATCGCCCACAAAGACAGATTAGAAACGGTGCATCTAATGGGTTGATCCTCATGATACCCCAGCACATACTGCACAATGGAATGGTTTTCTTGATAAGAAACCAATTTTTCTCTATGCAGTGGTTCACAAAGCAAAGGTCCTCTATAGATTTTTCAGGACTGTATTCTTTCTAGCCCAACAGCATTCATCTTTTTCACTTTGAACAAACTATCACTACATAAGGTAGTAATCACCGGGATTCCAAACCTGCAAACCAACCCACACACCAGACCTCCCCGCACCCTTTTCAAAAACACATGAATTCTTCATATCAACTCTTTTTAAGCCCATGGCCTATTGTTGGAAAGCTCTAGAAGTCTACTTTTCAATGTAACTAGTAGCATCTCAAAACTCCAAGTTCTTTTGGGATAAAATTGACATACTTGGTGAGATCTACTAATGTCACCCCATAAGAAATACACGAAACACATTACAATTGAAAAAGAAAATCCATCCATTGCCATCAAAACAGTACAAACAGACTAGGCCACGGGCCTTCAATGATCAACTCAATGGAAAATAAGTCTTTTTCACCTTCTTTTATGCTTTTTTGGCCGCCTTCTCACACTTTTGCACAAAGATACAGTTGAATAGCGTGGTTTTATAAAGATATATTGTGATGAAGCAGAATTTGTCGCAAACTGTTGCATGCTTTATAACGCAACTCTCAATCCACTATGAATTCTGAGATGAAACTAATTGGAGATGAAAATTGACTTCTAAACTTTTCAATGATATGTTGTTCACCCAAGAAGGAGTTCAGACCGGCCAATCATTTTGTTGGAGCATCCAACCCAAAACCATTTGGCAATAAGTATAGAGGCCTCTTCAGCATATAAGCGAACCTTGAGTGGTCCTAACTATTTGATGTGTGATACAAGTTATCTTTACACATTTGATCATAGCTCTAAATCTACTTCAAATCTTGAGATGAAACTTGCTCCATTTGAAAGTATACTTCCAGAGTAGTCCAATGATAGGGCATGAACATAAAACAAATTTTGGATGAAGAAATTATGCAGGGTGGAAGTGTTTTCTTCACCCTATAACTACAGCTGTGACTCATCTATACGAAAGCTGAGAACAACTGATGAAAATGTAGCTCTTTGCGCTTTGTGCGCCATGGGTGCTAGCCTCAAACAATGTGAATCTGTTTCTACCTCCCTAACCTTGTGTCCTGCCGGGGGTGTCAATCGTTAAACTAGCTTTTCTAGGCACTAGCAACATGCTCATGCCTGTTCCAGAACATTGGGAATTTGGGATGGTTCGTACGCTGAAAGACCCTAATAAACAAATGGGATTGCTTCATCCTAAAAAGTACGGCTGTTGGGAAAACCACCGTGATACTCCTATATCAAGGTACTGCACCTCCATTATGAAGATACTCCATGCTTGGTTACCAACAGTTCTCTACTTCCTTTGTTCTTTAAGCCCTTACATAATGTATATAGTGGGCATTACATTGTATAAGCAATAACAAAACATAATTCAATATCTGACTCTGTTCATAATATCAGTATGACCACTTATCTGATTATGCAGATTAACTGAAGGGAAGCAGAGAAACCACCCAATGGTTTACTGGACCTCAAATTAATGAAACTCGGATATTGGATGGATAACAATTTAACCTGTGTGTAGCATTCGATTGCAGCTCTAAAATCTTTATGGCGGAAGGCAGCGTCACCCTTCTTCTTAGAATTCAATGTTTCCTGCATCTGATTTGTCCACATCTGGAAGGAAAGCTGCAAGGAAGGAAAATAGTTGCGAGACTGATCACATACAATATAGATAGCTGGCAGTAAGAAACCAACATGGTGAAGCATTCAGTAAGAGAGTGAAAAGTGGAGTCCCTATCCCCGTACATGGTCAATAGAAACACATGTAAAGGAGAAGAATACATATGTAATAAGTCAGATGTGCAAATGGGACAAATAATTTAGGAACTCCTGAAGAATAAAAATAAGCCACCATAAGGGTAAATGGATAATCGCACAACCATACGAACGAGATCCTTTGCAACACCCCCAAAGTTTGTAATTGAAGCCCCCAGCAAGCATGTTCATTTTGGCTCCTAAGCTAGAACAACAAACAGGTAATGCACCATCCTTGCTGCTACAATCGTTGACCCAATTCACCCCCCAAACTGCAATCGAATCCCCCGCAACCCACCCCATCCCCACAAAAGAAAAAGAAAAAGAGGCCTGTCTGAAGGTTTGTCCCCTACACTTATTCCCTAGATGCATCACTACCACATAATAAGGACCAAACATTTTAACAATGTGCCAAGGATTTCATACCAAATGCTAATACAACTAAGAAGAACAGTAAAAACAAAGAAAGAAAATGACGTAGAGAAAGGATAGAATTAAATTGGAGGGAAGTTTTGGAGGGTGCAAAAATGGCATCTCAGGCCCCTCAACCATAAATCTATCATGTCTGTGTTAGAACATGTAGAGAGAGTTCAAACACAATGTAAACATTGATAATACCAATACAACTTATAATTCTCATCTCATTTTTTCAGCATAAGGCCTATGTAAAAAGTCATATCTATTGCACTTAGTCCAAGTCATGCTGATTTGGATATCAGAGCAACAGTTCATGAATGTACACTATATAATTGAAAGTAGAAAACCAAATCATTGGAGAGCCATGGCCTCCACAAGCAAGCAAAACTTACAATCCCACCCTCCCAAAAAAAAGAAGAAAACTACACAAAAAAAACCCCCAACATCAGAAAATAAGGAAGGAGGCCATTAAATGAGAGACCAAAGTTAAAGAATAATAATGGGAGGTGATGGAATCAATCTGCAATATATGGATCTTAACAAACCTCAGTTGCTGCTCCCTCATCATCTTTGTACCCAAGCTTTTCTAGGATCTCATGAATAGCAGTCAAATCCATTCTAAGGCAAGCTTCACCAAGGGGGGATAAAGGCAAGGAAGCAGCACCATGTTGTATACCCATCAATACATGAGAAGGATCCTGCAAAAAAATTTACTTAATCTTCACCGAGTCATTCCAGCTAGTGACAATTTTCAGCTTTCAATTTATTTTTATTTTTTTTGACAAGAAACAAAACTTTCATTTCTTAGAATGTATAAAGAGTACATAAACAGCGGATAAGTGATCCACCCAAAAGTAAAAAGATACAAAGAAAAAATATAAGTTAGCTAGATGCGGCTAATCCAATTATTTTGTAAAACCGACAAAAAAATGTCGCTAAACTCATTTGAAACCACCGCCGAAAGAGATGCTAAAAACAACAATTCTCCTTCCTCCTCCTTCCCTTCAAGAATTATGTGATTCCTCTTCCTCCACACCATGCAAAAAATGGCAATGAATGCATATATCCATAAAGTCAAGGCTTTTTTCCACTCCCAAAAGATTTGAAACGCACCACCAATAAGGACACGCAATTGTGAGATGTGACCCACATCCCATAAAAGCTTGTGCCACAAATACATAGAAATGGAACAATAAAAAACAAGTGATCCATACTTTCCCCACATTCTTCACACATAACATACCAATTAGGAGATAGATAATTGCTAGGCTTTTGCTTTTGCAAAAAGTCACAATTGTTTACCTTTCACGGGCAATCATCCAAGCAAGCACCAACAGTTTCATAGGTACTCTAGCCTTCCAAATTATTCAGTGAAGTTCACAGAATGAATCACTATGAACATCAATCAATTGTTGAAAATAGGAACTACAAGCGAAATTTCCAAAAGAATCAACTGACCAAACTCTATAATCAATAACCGATGAATCTAGACAAACAAAATTAAGCAAAGACAAAAGAGATGCCAACTTCACGGTTTCCCAATTGTTAAGATTACAGAAAAGATTGAAGTTCTAACCCCCATGAAAAGAAGAAGGAGAATTACAAAGCAAGCTTTTCACATAGGCATTATGAGAACTTGATAATCTACAAAGTTAAGGAAATAATGAAACAAAGGATAACCCAAAACTCCAAGTATCCTCCAAAAACGAATTCTCTCCCCACTTCCCACTCTCAAGATAGTATTCTTTCTAAAATCATCCAACCATGTTGGAAGGAAAATGGTCTACTATAGTTGATAGTACGCCTTGTCCCATTGTATTCTTAGATTGTACTGTCCCAGTTCTCCTCTTTTAATAGGATCTGTTGCTTATTAGGAAAAAAAGTTAAGTACATGAAGCCACTCTGACTTTACCCCCCAGAACTGTGAATATAATACAACAAATGCACAACATAAAGATAATAAATGTTTCTAACAGATAAAAATTTACAGCCCTAAATGTAAGTGAAATGAATAATTACCAAAACGACAGAAACACCTGTCAAAGAACGCATGCATATATAGAAACAGACACTGTTAAAGTTCATCCTGTAAAAAGCTCAAATTCAGCCATCTACGAAGGCAAAAAAATTGTGTTTTCCACCTGGCATCCAACTATCTTTCTTCTAAACACCATCAAGAAGAGTAGGGGAGAAGACCTTCCTGCTGCTAGTGCTACAAAAGTATGTTTCTCACAACCTTCTATTAATTTCTGTCGGAGGTTCAAGGGACAATTGTATGCATAGGATAGAGGAAACAAGCAAAACATATGATCGAAATGCGCGAGAAAATAACTTAGTAAAATACTTGATCACATCCACATATGATATTCTACCAAGAAAAGCACAGCAGGAAGAGCAAAAATCATATCAGATACAGTGAGTTCTCATAAACAATTAAATGGTTTACCACTTGATCAACACAACCAACCTCAGTTTCCTTCTGAAGAGGAATCAAAGCAGCAACTAAAGATTTTGGATTTGGCCGCTCACGAGGCTCATATTGCAAGCATCTTGAAGCTAAACGTACCAACTCTGTTCCATCATCATTAGAAAACTGCCCTTCCAGGCAAGAATCTGTCAGCATCTGAAGGTTCCTGTCCCTTATCAAATCAAGGGCCTGATACAAATTATGCAAAACTGAGCATCAGGTAAACAGTTAAATGAGATGAAGTATTTACAGTAACCCAATTTAGAAAAATATATAGTTAAGAAAGCTCAGAGGAAATATTACGCAACTCATAAGAACACATTTAGAAGTAAATATCAAAGACATATATGATGCTAATTTATGTCATCAAATGAAGGAGAGACAAAAAACCTCAAAACAGGTGCATTTAAGCCAGGAAGAAGCCAATCCGGCCATTGCTACTCCAGAAGCCCAACAAACTCTAATTTCATATGCATGGAATAAAAACCCAAGATCAAAAGGCTGACCCACAACATTTTCAAAATGTTTTAGCCAAACTTTTTGAATATTTACTTTGCCTTCTTCCCCCACCCTAAAAAAGCAAGGAGAAGAGAGAGAGTTTTGGCTCCTCCCTGAATTACCTGTATGCCTGATCTTACGAGTAGCCTTGATGTGGGTTCATCTGGGTGAAGTTCCACCAATATATCATTTTCCTTTAGAAATTTATTGGAACAAACTATGGATATGATAATAAAGACAAGTATGAACAATTCTTTTCTCAAATAAGATTGATTATCATCCAAACAAAAGCCTGGTGTTCTAGTTACCCCGGTTCCAAAATTGAGAGAATCTCTTAGCTGATATGTTTTCACCACGTCAACTCCCCCCCATTTTCCCCCTCCCTCAAAAAAAAAAAAAAAGGCAAACAAACACACACACAATGCTGTAAACATAACTTTAGCAGAGAGTCAACTTACATGGCTCGGAGGGATATGTTTTCCACTAAGAAGATCAAGCAAAAGGGTGCCAAAACTGTACATCACACTTTCCGGTGTTACTCGTCCTACAAGGGAGGCAAACAACTTATCTTCGACATCAAAATGAGCAAGAAATGAAAATTTTTAACATGTCCAAAAAATATAATGTCTCCAATTTTCTCCCCAAAAGATTATAGTGTCTTACATTCTACATCAGTGAGAATCAAATGAAGCAATAAACCCATGAAAAGTCAACAGACAATCACTATCGTACTAAATCCCTAAATATAGTCAAGCAAGATAAAAGTCAGTGACAGACTGCTCAACATTTTGGACTCCCATGTAAATTAAGTCACATCTATCCATGTATAGTATTGTATAGTATATCTACCTTTACCCTGTATAAAAATGGAAAACATGCTTATGAGCAGTGAAGGGAAGTGCATCTACTTCCCTGAATGCACTTCCCTGCGTTTTTCCTCACTCAGTAAACGGATGACCAAGGTCTTCTAATTATACATGCCAAAGCGCCCAAAAATACAGAAAGATTATATACTATAAGTAAAGAAGAACTTGTCTATTCATGAACATGTATATGGTTGAGAGGTTTAATACCAGTCCTTAAGTACTCAGGAGGGGTAAATGCCAGGTTTGTGCTGTAACTTTTTCCATCTCTACTGTTCTTCATGAGACCAAAGCACGACAACCTGGGATCAGCATTCTGTGGCATAACAAAGATACAACGAAAAGTCTGCATTCCATATCTGAACCACAAGGGAAAAACTCATGGATGATAGTTAAAGATGTAACAGCATACTTACGTCATCAAAAACTATTCTGTAAGCATTAAGATCGTGATAAAGAGCACGCCCTTTGCTTGTACAATAATCTAAAGCTTCTGCAAGATACAAAGCCACCCTTAATCGCATTGCCCACTTCATGGGCTGTGCTTCCCCTAAGTTAACATGCAAACAAAATGAAGTCATATAGGATGATCCACTAAACAAAATGAACTCATATAACTGAAAAATTACACATGACAAAGAAATGTATCCATATCATGGTGAGCTGTGAAAGAAACTAAAGATGATGGGTGTGTAGTTCAAAACAGAATTAGAGGAAATAGCTCCAATTCAGCACAAGCAAATCACAGTCCAAATGAAAAAGAAATTATTGAAAAAAATATGGTGATACCATATGGTATCTACCATTTATATCTGGTTGCAATCAAACCGGAACTAACAATAACATGTGAAGGAATATAAAAAATAAATAGGGTAGCTACGGAGAGGTTGGTGAGCACACCAAAAGAATCTGCACGTAAAGAACAAATGATGGGTTTTTATCTATGTGGTATCTACCATACATATCTAGTGCACTAGACTGAAACTAAATAAAATTAGAAAGAATATTAAATAGAAATAGTATAGATAAAGCGAGGTTGGTGAGTACGTCAAAAGAATCCGGAAGCAAGGAACAAATATCGTGTTTTTCACATATATTCCAGTGTGCCTAATAAACGAAAGCTTTTGCGAGCAAATATAGACTCGTTCAATATCTATTTCACTTGTAGGATAGCCCATGACCTATTAGAAAAAATGAATTGGTCCCTGGTTCGTTTTGCCATCCCACCTATTGAATCATTATGATTCTTTTTCAATAGGATCTTCTACATTCAAAGCTATGTCCCCTTCTGAACAATTATACGAGAAGTACAAGAACTAAATGCATCATAAAAGTAGTTGCCAAATAGATCCAAAATATATTTGTTTCTACTGATACAACACACGGGATTTTTGTTTCCCAGTCAATAACATAAAATGAGAATACAACAATATTGGATGTTTGAACACTGCTTTAAGCACGTGCAAAGATAGCAAAAGAAGTTATGCCTACTTACAATGAAAGAGGTGTTTTGCAAGCGTCTCATTGGGCATAAATTCTGCAACAAGTAATCTCTCATCACCTTCACAACAACATCCAAGTAGGTTTGCCAATCTGTGTTTCCGGAGTTGACCAACAGCTCTTGCTTCTTCCTGAATTCAATGATCAAAAGTTCACAGCCATCACAATATTTATGTAAAATTTTATTCTGCAAAACTTTATTTCCAAGGAGAAAAATAATAACAAATTTGGAAACAGTTATTACATCAGAGTAAGTGGAAGCACGTGTATCAATGTTTTCTTCACCCAAAAGTTCAAACTACGACATGCCTCCCAAATCATGGACACCAAGCTTTTAAATCCTTATCAAATTTATTAGTTGAATTTTAAACAGTTCTATTTTAAGATGGTACTTAGTTGCTTGTTGCATAAGATTAACTTCACGCGAAACTACACTACTATATTGAACAAATAATTTGACTTAGACTATGTTCAGATATCTATGTGCATTCAGCTAGATGTAAATATCAATGGTTATAGCGTGAAATCCATGTTAAGTTAAACACGTTTGATAACTTCTTATTGAGAACAAGCAACATTAGAGTGGTAACAGGTTGTTGCATTCTTACCAAGAACTGCCGGGTATCTGGCCAGGCAGATCTATTAAAACGTTTGACGGCAATCCTCCTCTGATCCAACTTCCCTTTATAAACCACATTCGGGGCCTTCTCCCCGTGTTCGGATACTATGTTCTCTACTGCAAATCCAGATGTAGCTATCCTAAGTTGTTCAATAGTGTATTCACAAAATGGAGGCAAATCACTAGCTTCATCCCTCTCCTCATTTTCTGCCAAACAAATGCAAAAAATAGGTATAAAATCATTCTCTTTCATTAACATGATAAAGAGACAATAACTACTAACTTCAGTTTTACATACCATCATCATGGGCCTCGCGAGCAGGCCCATCCTGTTCTGCAACCCAGCAACAGGAGGTGAGCTTAGAACACTCACAGCCCATCCCAACACCCAGCAGTTGGAAATTATTTTCAGCTAGTCTTCACCAAATATATCCTTCTAATCAAAGTCTTCTAATCAATTTTGTTACTCCCCTATTGAAATCCAAATCATTGCCCAATTGCTGCCTGTCAATTATTAGCAAAATCATGTTTCAAACGTTTCCAAATAGAGACACAAGCATTCCCACGCCCACATACACCACCACCACCACCACCAAAAACAACAACAAACTGAGACACAACATGATTCAATCGTATCTCAGTGACTTCCCAAAACTACAACCTAAATCCATATTCACATACGAAGAGTACAAAAATATAGACTTACATAATATACACAAGCACAGAGAGCCACAGATAGCAAAAAGTAAAGTATAAAAGCAAGTTTTTGAATAAGCATGAAATGGTGATAAAGGGGAAGTAACTTTCCAGCGATTCAAATCAGTGTTAACTCAGTTCGGCCTCAAAAACGTAAAATTATCATATATTCAATGCAAAAGGCAAAGCAAATCCTCTTCTCAGCAGCTCCACAAGCTTTTTCTTTTACCGAGTCAATAAAGGAATTCGAACCTGACTCAAAACAGGTGAATCAAAAGTGAAATCAGAGCTCACAAAAAGGAAATAAAAGTTACTCAAAAACAGAAGGCAACTGAACTTTCTTCAAGAACCGCAGAACTTCATCGACTTCGATTCCGTCAAGCCGTACCTCCGTATGACTGAGTGGATTCAGAGATCGTAGCAGATGCGAATCGGAGATTGAGAGCGTAAAAGAGATTCGGATATATACAGATATAGAGATATAAATAGAAACATATAGATATGCAGATCTCCTCTGCTCTGTTTAGTGTGTGTATTCGATTCTATTGCTAGTGTTTTCCAATTTCCACCGACATAAACCCTTTTTTTCTGTACATTATTTAATTTTTTTAGGGAATATATATATATATATATATATATTTCATTATGTATGAGCATACAGGTTTTTAGGTCAAGGCCGTTCTTGTTTTTTGTTTTTTTTTTTTCTTGTCAATATAGATATCTGTCAACGAACACAGAAGAATTTTCTTTTTTTTTGGACCGTTCAGTCTTGGTGGTTGTTTCTATTATTAGATGAACTCGAGTAACATGTTTAATTCTAGGGAAAATTTCGACACCCCATCTAATTTAACATATTTTTAAGGACACTTTTTTTAGTTTTTAAATCTTCAATAACAACTCTTCTAATTTAATTTAAACATCACTAACACCCCTTACCATTAAACTATTATTTCTAACAAAAAAAATTCATCAAAAATATTAAAAATGCCCCTGCATAACCTCAAATAATTTTTTTACATAAAATTTTATTAAAATTCGAGCTGTTAAAATTTTAAAAAAATTCATAAATAATAATTTTAGTAAATAATTTGTTAGTAAGTACTAATTTGTTATTTACTAATTCGTAAATTTAAAAAAAAAATCGAGCCTATTAAAATTTTTTTTACATATTATAATTTGAGTCGATTTGAACTTTATCCGAGTTATTAGAGTCGATTAAATTCTCTTTTGAGTTGATTAAAATTTATATTTTTTTATTTATTAAAATTCGTGTCAATTAAAATTATATTTATTAAAATTTAAGTCAATTAAAATTCATATATTTTTATATATTAAAATTTGGGTTGATTAAAATTCAATGCGAATTAATTAAAATTTGATTTGAGTCAATTAAAAATAATTTTTAATTGGCTCAAACAAAATTTTAATTAGCCCAAATTCTAATATATAAAAAAAAATATAATTTTTAATCGGCACAAATTTTAATATGTAAAAAAATAAATTTTAATTAGGTTGAATCGAATTTTAATTAGTTCGAATTTAATTATGTAAAAAAATTAGAAAACAAATGGGTCTCATTGAAAATATACTTATCTAGAAGGGGTCTCATTGAAGATATGTTTATCTAGAGGGGGTGTGGATGAAGTTTGTCCTCAAATATATCATGGACAATTCAGTAAAATTGTATTCTACTTAATATTTTTAATCTGACAGAGGGGGTCATTGAAGATATGATAAACTAGAGAAGGTGTGGTTGAAATCTTCCCTTAATTCTATCTTTCTTTTACTACAGTTAAAATGTAAGTGATTGAAATATGAATAATTAAAATATGTATTATTGCTAAAATAAAAGTATAATTAAAATATTTATTGTGTTTAAAGTATGCTTTGGATGTAAATGATATATATATATATATATATTGGAATAATTGCATGTGAGGTCCTCAAATTATAAGATTTGTATAATTTTAGTCTTCAATATTTTAATTACATCATTTTGGTTCTTAAAGTATTAAATATGTTTTTTTTATATGATCCATCAAGCAGACATCAAATATATCGCTGACAATTTTTAGTTATTGATGATGTACAAAATAATTTTGCACATCACCTGTCAAGTGTGAATAATAAATGCAAGAAAATAATATCAGGAGATGGAGAGACACAGACAATTTATAGTGGTTCGGTCAGCTCGACCTACGTCCACTCTTCAATGGCTCTGGTTGTCGAGTATTTTATTAACTCAAAAGTGTGAAGAGCAGAGAGTACAAGCTTTCAGGGATAGGAGAGAGTCGTGCTCAGGTAAAGTATGATACGTCCCCAAAGTGTTGGTGGAGCTTACAATTTATAGTCACCCTTCTAACAGATTTGGACAAGATATTAGTAAGTAATTGGCTAGTTTGTTAGACCTGGCGAGCTCTTCTTAACGTGCTAGGCAGTTGCGGTGTTCTCCATGAGATTCGATCAAAAGATGAGGTGGGGTGTTGACCATCTCCAGGATAGTGAGGATAGGGTTTTGGATGACCTTACTTACTCCCTTAGCTCCTTGAACTGCTGAGCTTGACCGGGTTGACCACACTGATGAGTTTGACCGGGTTTGATGACTTGAACGGGTTAAGTTGATGAGCTTCACTGAATTGGCCACACTAGGCTGAATTTGCTGGATCTCCTAGAGTCGGACCATTAACTTGAATTGAGCTTATAACATGAGTTGGGCCTTTGGGCTTGACCCATCATTTGCCCCTCCAATGCCCTGTGTCCAATGGAACTTGGAAAGGAGGGCATTCGATTAAGTTTGAATTTTCGGCGGCACAATTGAAAAAACTTCGGGAGGCCAAAACATCTGTTTCCAAGTCTTTTTTGGACTTTTTACAGAATTAGCCACAGCCAAAGGCTGTGAGTCTTGTAGAGCTCGCCGATAGCTTCAATTTGATAAATTATAAGCCTCATTTGGAGTAACGGAGCAGAAATTATGGTTAAAACTTCAAGTAGAGAGCTAGGCGAGCAGTTTGGGCGAGTAGGCAGCTTCGGGGTGAGCTGGGCACTATCCTAGGCGAGCTGGGCAGAATTTTTTTTTTTTTTAAAGTTCGTGAGGCCAAAACATCTATTTCTGGGCCTTTTTTGGACTTTGTACACTATCACTCACAGTCTTGGTTGTGTGTCTTGTAGGGCTCGTTAAGAGTTTCGATTTAATATATAATAAGCCCCTGTTTGAAGTTACAGAGTAAAATTTACGGTCAAAACTTCAAGCAGGCAGCTAGGCGCGCGTTTTGGGCGAGCCTGTGGCTGCCTTGGGCGACCTGGGGGTGCAGCCTGGGTGCTGACAGGAGTTGCCTAGGCACGAGCCTGGGCATCAGGAGCTAGAGGTGTAGCCTAGGATGCCTAGGGATCAGGTGATGGAGGTGCAACGATGCCTGGGCATCAGGAGCTGGAGGTGCAACCTAGGATGTCTGGGTATCAGGAGATGGAGATACAGCCTGAGATACCTGGGCATGAGAAGCTGGAGGTGCAACCTTGGATGTCTGAGTATTTGGAGATGGGGGTGCAACTTGGGATGCCTAGGCATCAAGAGTTGGAGGTGCAGCCTGAGATGTCTGGGCATCAGGAAATAGAGGTGCAGCCTGGGATGTCTGGGCATCAGGAGCTGGAGGTGCCACTTTAGGCGCTGATCTGGGTGCCTTTGGAGCTGTTTTGTACAACTTTGAAGGGACAGGCAGCGTTAGGCTGCCCTGTTTGGGCGAGCAAAGGTGGTCAGACACCTTTCCAAGTGTTGGACTATCTCGTTTGGGTGAGCATAGAACGTCAGACACCCCTCTAGGTGCTGGGCTGCCTCGTTTGGGCGAGCACATAGGATCAGACACCTCTCTAGGTGCTAGGCTACCTCGTTTGGGGAGCACATAGGATCAGACATCTCTCCAGGTGCTGAGTTGTCTCGTTTGGGCGAACACATAGGATCAGATACATCTCCAAGTGTTGGGCTGCCTCGTTTGGGGGAGCATAGAGCATTAGACACCTCTACTTGGCTGTCTCGTTTGGGCGCCTTGGGTGAGCCTGGTTGTGATGACAAAAATAATGTTATTCCAAACATTAAAATATCTCACATAATTACCTGTAGGGAGAGGTAGGCTGCTTGCGCGAGAGAAAAGATAGAGTTAGAGAACTGCTTGTGAGAGAGCTACACCTTTTGAAACCTAACTTTTGGCGACTCATGAGAGGGGCATTAAGCTTGAGGTATAGGCTGCCTATTTGAGAACAGCGCAGAGGCCAAGCTTTTGGCGACCCGTGAAAGAGCCACTCAGCTAGAGATATAGGTTGTCTGTTTAAAAACAGTACAGAGGCCAAGCTTTTGGTGACCCGCAAGAGAGTCGCTAAGTTGGATATTGAGATTGCCTGTTTAAGAATAGTGCAGAAGCCAATCTTTTGGCGACCCGCGAGAGAATCGCTGAGCTTGATATTGAGGCTGCCTGTTTGAGAACAGCGCAGAGGCCAAGCTTTTGGCGACCCGTGAGAGAGTCGCTAAGCTAGATATTGAGGTTGCCTGTTTGAGAACAGTGCAGAGGCAGGTCAAGCTTCTGGTAATCTGCGAGATGATTCACCTTGCCTGGACCTGTTGATTTTCTCAGCATTCATATATTTTTGAGCATTTGTGTATAGTTCTAGCATGTTCTTTGGTGGTCGTTTCATTACCGAAAAAAGGTATCTGGATGAGCGGAGGCCTCTCAAGAAGGCGGTCATCGTTACTTTGTCGTCAGGCTCATCAATTTGGAGTACCTCCTTGTTAAAACGAGTGAGATAGCTCCTCAGGCTCTCCTCCCGGTCTTGTTTTATGCTAAACAGATGGGTGACAGGCTTCTGGTGGCGTTGTCCCCCAATAAAATGCGATACGAATGACCAGCTCAGCTCAACAAAAGAGGCGATGGAGGCTGGGGAGCTTAGCGAACCATTGTCTTGCGAACCCCTTCAATGTGGTGTTCCGTCAAAGGTCTTCACGGATGACATTTTGAACTTTTGAGGGAAGGGGTAGTTTGCTACGTTAGGTTTGAAAGGCGTGTCTGTTCACCTTACCAGGTAGTCTGCTATCTTGGGTTCCTGCTTCTTCATGGCGATGAAGACGTCACCTAATTGATTTTGTACTTCCTTAATTTTTTCGTCCTAGTGATTGGGGGCTCCTCTGATATGATCATGAAAATGACTCTCATGCTCCATGCTTTGATTTTCATCATCATCTTCTTAGAGATGAGGGTCTTCACCATGGGAAATAAGAGGAGCTGGAGGTCTCTCATAATAGGCTCCCCTGTGTGGGGTGCCCAAAGGGAATCCAAAGGGGGCGCCCAGACCAGCATGGGTGCCCAAATGGGGAGCAGCAAGTTGTGGAGCTCCTTGATGTCCAAGGCGTGGAGGCCCTTGATATCTAAGGCGTGCAGCTCCTTGATGTCCAGGGCGCAGAGCTCCTTGATGCCCAAGGCGTGCAACTCCTTGATGCCTAAGGCGTGCAGCTCCTTGATGTCCAACGAGCATGAGTTGCAAGATCTGTTGGTTTTGGGCCACCAGTGACTACATGATCTCCAACATTT